GCCAGCCGGCTCCGGGGAGGCCCGGCTTCCTCCCCCCCCCGCCTGCCAGCCAGCCAGCCCGCCGGCTGGCTCCGAGGCGGCGGCGGCGGCGTTGCAGAGCGTCCCCTGCGCATGCGCAGGAGACGCTCTTGCACTTTCGGGGGGATTTAAACATCCCCTCGAAATTTTTTTTAACTTTTTGCATTTTTGTGCACACGTGGGGACTGGTCCACGTGTGCACAAACCTCCCCCTCCCCCCCACCTGCCCCCTCCGTGGTGATTTAGCGATCCGCACGGAGGGGGCAAGTTGGCTATTAGATATATAGATCATTACACATTACTTAGTCTTTTCTATGGTGAGGGCACAGGATTTGGGGGCAGTGATGCACTTAGGCCAAAGTTTCATGTGCAAGGGAGGAAATAAGATTTTTTAATATAGCACTAAGAAATACATGTAGTATTCTGTTTCAAAGCAAGGCTCACACTGACCTACAATAAAATAGCAAATATTTAATCAGAAAATTTAAGGATTCAAAACTAAAAAATCTGCACACATCCAGGAAAGGGTTAGGCTAAGAAACTGAACAAGTTCTTTCTTTCTTTCTTTCTTTCTTTCTTTCTTTCTTTCTTTCTTTCTTTCTTTCTTTCTTTCTTTCTTTCATTCAATTCAATTCAATTCAATTCAATTAATAAACATATTTCATTAAATATGTTTCTGCTAAAGAAAAGGGTGAGGTCGTCACAGAGATCAATATTCAGCCTGAAAAAATATCAGTGTAATTAAAAAATCCAACATTACTTCTTGTAACGAATCCATTGATAATTTATTACAATTGTACTTACTGGAAATTTTTGGAAATATAACTCCTTGTATAGGGCTTCATTTCTCCAAAGACCCAGAAAGGCTCCAGGAGCCAAAGGCAATCTGGCATCAAACAAAAAAAAGGCAAAGATTGGAACAAAAAGAACAAGGATAACAAAATCATAATCGAAAATATTCTAAGAAATACAGGGTAAACATTAAGGTTAGCATGGGAAGTTTATTTAGGTGCAAACATACAATTTTCACTACTGAAAGAACGGTAAACAAGGTGATTCACATCCTTGATGTGTTAAATGTTAAGAAGAAAAATTCAACATTATCAGTCAGTGATGTTAAAGTCTGCAAAGTTAAAAAGAATGCCTAAATGAAGAAATTGCCTTGTTGGCAGTGTGGCCAAATGGGATTTGAAAAGAAAAGTTTAGTGTAGGCACTCACGAACAAATTTATTCAACAGGCAAAGAGGGCAATTGCCAGGGGCCCACCAGCAGGCCCATATTAATGTGCCTTCTAGAATCAGTGCTGCCACCTCTCACATGTGGAGTGGCATAGTGCATAAGGAGGAGGCAGCCATGTATACAGTGGGCAATAGGATGCAGCATATAAGATGGACTGAAGAGGGTCCTGTGTCACTCCCCTTGGTCCTTTTACCAGGTAGTTCTGCAGCTGTTTACTTGCTGCAGAGCTGAGAAACCAGAAACACAGGTTAAGGCATGGAGTAACAGCTGGTGGCTACTAGCAGCACCAATGCAGTGGCTGTGACTCAAAGCACAATGCCCACAGCTAGCACTGGATATGTGGTCATCTAGCAGATGGCCAGGACAAGGGAATTCAGGAAGCAGAGGCTTAGTGAATACTTATACCTAAGGTGACTTGACTATTGAAGGGGATGGCAAAGACATTACCACACAGACAAGCAATGAGGCTGGAATCACCTCCACCAGAATACCTTGTCAAAAAGCTGTCTTAACAGGAGAGGCACAAGGGGCAGAAGACATATCTTCTGCACTTTCAAAAGAAGAGAGGTCTTCATGGAACTTTCCTGAGCCTAATGACATATCTGTGTCTCCTGGTATCGCTTCCCTCTGTGTTAGTCTCTTCTACTAAAGTCATCAGATCTTCCCAGTTGTAATGTTTTTTTTATAATTCATATGAAATTTGATACTAACATCACTATATCAGGGTTTGTTCACTTTTCAAAAACAGTTTATGTTCCTATCAAAATCTGACCAGAATCTATATCTTCTTGTATGCACATGCAAGGAGCTCTCACCAGTCCTTTAGCACCAACTGTCATTGTTACAAGTAATAGTGCAGGTTAAAAAAATGGCTGGGTTAATGAGAGAAGAGCTCCTATAAAGGGGATAGCATTTTGTCAAGGCTTTCTTGTGGGTTAACAGGAGACTTGAGCACACATGAGCCAACTTAAGTTTTAAAAGGAAGTATTTATTTAGAAGGATGGTCAAAAGAGAGAAATACAAAATCCAGCAACAAAACACTTCAGAGAGTACAACAAAATAATAAACACTAACTCAAACTACCTGTGATCTATAGCGCAGTTTTCAGGAAGCATAGGCCATAAGTCACAACGAGGAATGTGGCTTCACGTAGAGGTCTGCAAATACGAACCGCATACAGGAGTTCCCAGAATCTCTTAGGCTAAATTTCCCCCAGTTAAGGTGTCAAAATATACTCTTTTTCCCTTTCAAATATCAGCTGCCCCCACTTTACGGCCAAAACAGTTTTCCAAATAGAGTTAATTGGTAGGTCTGCCTGTCCTTAGAATCAGCACCTTAACAATAACAAACTTAAAACAGCTGCACTAGGAAGAAGGCTAACATACTGTTACATCACTTAACCCTTCATAGGCACTTTTGCTTCACACATTTTTCTCTCCCTTTTTTTGTATAATGTACCCCTTTGTGTCAGAATTGCAAAGCTGAAAAGGGTTGTGGACCCCTCTAACCACTATACCATATCGATTGTCAATTAAAAGTATCAAAAAAGCCACTAGGATGAAACTGAAATTACTCATCACATCCGGGGTGCCCCCTGTGCATTGTCCTTAACAGTCTGAGCTGCAGAATCCTTCGACATGCACTACTGCATACCATCCTGAGCCACCTTTCCTCAGTGGGCATCACCTGCCTTTGGAGACAGAAGCAATCCATACAGAAGGATGGTAGTACTCATCTCCTTCTGAGCTAGAATCCGTATCCTCTCAATTTATAAATGGGCAACAGGAAATATAAACCCCAGGGGTCTGTACCCTTTAATCCTTTAGGACCAATTTCAGTTCAAGTGGCATAGAGAAGTCTTGAATTCCATCCAGAAATTAGGCTTTTCTCCCCAACCCCTTCTGGATCTTGGTATAGATTTTTGGTACAGGCCAAAATTTGTGAGGAACTTTAGTTCGTCAGCCAGTTTGTGCCCATCGCTAGTTACTACTCACCTCTAGCAATAACTACCCTGACCTGTATAGTCCAGGCTAGCTGGATCTTGTCAGACCTTGGAAGCTAAGCTAGGTTGGCCCTGGCTAGTATTTGGATGGGAGATCACCAAGGAATATCAGGGTCATGATGCGGAAGCAGACAAAATGGCAAACCACCTCTGAACATCTCTTGCCTTGAAAACCCTATGGAATTGGTTAGGAAAGGCTAGCGTAAATAGTGATACTGGAATGTTTCATCTGTATTTTCTGTCTTGCCTAAGATCCCTGTTCACTGTACAGCCTACCTAGTTTCATCAGACGTAAACTACTCTTATCTTGGTTCTCTTCTGTGCTTACAGTTGTAACCTCCAAGCTTTTGCCATTAAACTTTAACCCTCAATCTGCCCCACAGATTCCTCAGTCTTCTCTGTACGGACAAGCAGTCTTATTCTAAATTAATGTTACTAGTTTTCATAAAAGATTGCTGTGTTCCATGACTAGTTAGAGTGTTTGTAAACATTCAGTGACATGACACCAGCTCAAGCAATTGTAGACAGACTTCTCCAGTACAAATAATTTAGTATATTACAGCATAATTACACTCAACATTTTGCTTTGATTTCCAGCATTTAAAAAATGCAATGTGAGTATACGATTGTAGCATGAAGATATTTCTAGTGCTTCAAGATATTCATGATAAGAAATGACTGTAGAAACATTTTTTTAAAGGATCAGTTTGTTAAACCCTGGCTTGTAATTCTTGACCACTATGAAGAAGAATAGGAATATTATTTTGCATATCTCAGTACACACCTGTCTTCAACAAAACCATCAAGAACAGAAAGTTACTTTGTATGCTTTCAAGGTACTATCAGGATAGTAATTCTCAATGCACTTGCATCTTTGATTTATTTAACTGTCTAAAAAGTCCTTGTGACAAAAAGAAAAGACAATTACCACTGAGAGATTTGTCAGCGGTTCTTCTAGAGCTTTTTTCTTGTTCTGCCTTTTTCATTTTAACCACTAAATAAGAGAATTCATCATACAACACAGTTTGTAATTTCACTATATTATGAACTCTTGAAATTAAAATAGATGAAATACGTGGAGCAGATCAACACAAAAGGCATCAGTGACTCAATGAAGTGTTTAGTAAATGAGCTATATCAAGTGTACCAGAAGTAGACAAGCATAAGGATCAAGTAATTGAAAATTTAAGAGTTTAATAAGAAATTTTTGTATTTCAAATGTATTGGAAGTACCTGGTACACTGCAGGCGATAAACTGATGGCAGTTAGTAATAGTATAAATAGCATTAACATGCATGGATTTTCTCCATGATATTCTCTAAATCTATTTGCACATTCTATACATGCATATTTGCCAAAAAATTCTTATGGCTTCTCAAACACCAGAGTACTGTGACTCTTCACAGTCTAATGGGTTTATTCATGTTATTGGTCTCTAAGGTCGTAATTTATCTCATAACTGCTAAAGACTAACATGACTAAGACAACGAAAGCATTTTGTTAGATTATATACTTAGCAGCAAACCTTTCCTGCCACAATAGAAAATTAACTGCTTGAAAGGCTGAGGCTGCACTTACGTTTTTTCAAAACAAAGCCAAGAAACAGTGATTCATTCAGATATTAGACTGAAATAGTTCAAGGGTAGGAAGTTGATATTTTATAGCCTAAATCAGAACACCTAATGAAATAATACACCATGTCTGCCATAGGTCCTGTATACCAGAGGTGTGGTGAGAGTTCATTGTTCCCAGATGCACAAGAGCTGCAACATGCAGGAGTTTAAACTTTCCAGGTCCCCACATGATTAAGCCCCCTCTCCAGGCAAACCCCAGTCCAGTTCTGAATTAGATCCTTGCTCCCCTGGGAATTCAGTTCCAAGCACAGTCCTTGTACATGTCTGTACCAGTGTTCCCTGTAAGCTGTGCCGCGCTGCACCAGTGCAGCAATTTTGGGAGCCCAGCGCAGGGATTTTTAGCCCAGCACACAGGCCTGAGGAGTGGGTCGCCCCACCCTCCCAACCATCAACTTGCTAGGCAAAGGCGGCTGACTCACTGGCTGCTCTCTAGCTGGAGATCTGCCGCCTGGCTGCAGGGCAGGCCCTATAAAGGGAGGTGCTTGTGGGGTCCAGCCCTACTTTCGATTCCAACTAAGAGTCCAGGAAGAGCCCTCCTGCTGTGCTGGCTGGCTAGTAATGAGAGTCCGGGACTTAGTGCCACCCAAGAAGATCTTTTCGTCTACCCCCCAGGTCATCTCAAGTAAGTGTCTCCCTTGCTGGGCTCCACATGTGCCCAAGTGCCTGAGTTTTGCTTCCCATGAAATCAGCATGCCGGTAGGAGAGCTGGCGGGGCACAAAATCTCATTGCGTTTTTTTTTTGGGGGGGTGGAAGGAGCTAGCCTCCACATGTGCCTGAGTGCCTGGGGTTTGCCTCCCGTGAGATCAGCATGCCAGCAGGAGAGCCGGCGGGGCACAAAAGCCCATTGTGTTTGTTTGTTTGTGGGTGGTGGAAGGAGCTGGCCTCCACATGTGCCCAAGTGCCTGGGTTTTGCCTCCCGTGAGATCAGCATGCCAGTAGGAGAGCTGGCAGAGCACAAAAGCCCATTGCGTTTGTTTGTTTGTGGGGGTGGAAGGAGCTGGCCTCCACGT